GTTGAACCTGGGCCTTCTGGAAGAGTAGCCAGCGCTCTTACCTCATGAACCATCTCTTTCAACCTCATTTTCTTCTTCATTTTGGGTTTCTATTCCATTTTGATTTATATAACCTTAAGTCTCAAGCAGTTTGTTGGCTCTGAAGTCTTCCCCCCCCCCCTCTGTGTAACAACCCTACCTGTCCTGAACTAGATGTAGACCAGGCTGGCTTCGAACTCACAGAGATCTGCCTGCCTCCATCTCCCAAGTGCTGGTATTAAAGGCATGCACCACCACTGCCCGGCTGCTCTAAGGTTTTTTTTTTTTTTTTATTGATCATTCTTTCATATATCTCTATAGCAAAATACGTCATTTGAAATTTTCTTTAGAAGTTTTCTGATGCTGTGAGACTAATTTTCCAGAACTCAAGGTCATTGTTTCAGTTGATTTTACCAGCAAGTATTGATCAAAGCAGCCTAGATCTACTGAAGTGAACTGCTAACGGGAATAAACTATTTAATGCGTGCAGACTCCGTAACTATGTTATTTATGCTGATTATACATGATGAGGATTACTTGTTGGGAGAAGAAAGTGGGATCTTGCAGCTTTCCATTCTAGTTCACTTTTGTAAGCTCTGAGACAGCTTGTTCATATAAGTAGGTAGGGATGGAAGGGCTGTGGGTAGAAGTATTGCTTTGTTCTTTGGGCTCTGTTTGAGCACTTTGCCAAAAATAACAGTGATCTGTGAGATGCTGCTGTAGTCTTGAGGATGATGCATGCACTGGAAGGTGGTGGATGTTCAGAAATAATTTGTTTCCCTGCCATAAAACTTTTGTCAGTATTGAAGGGACATACTGGAATTATAAGACGAAAGGTTTGTGAGACTAGTTGGATGATAATTATCCACGTTCATCCCTCAGGCCTCCCGTTTACTCGGAGGTAGTCTAGAAATGAGGGGGAAAGGAGAAATGCCCATTGCGACACACTTTTGTAAATACCACATTTTGAAGGCTATTATCTCATAATGTACATCAATCGAAAATTTAGCAAACCACAGACAGGGTTCACCACATAATCAAACGGGAGAGTACCTTCAGGTCAACCACTCATATCAGACAATCCTGTTAGGAACCAAAACCACTCCTTGCTGTGTGATACTTGCTCAGTTATGTTTTCTGCTCGCTGCTGCTTTGTACTTGGGAGCCAGGGAACAGAAACAACCTAGATGCCATTCAGCTGGTACACAATGGGATAGGATTCGGCTGTAAGCAAAAGCTGTCTCGCTTCTGAATCTAGATTGTAGGTGAGGCTTCTCAGCCGCTGCTGAACTTGTTACCCAGACTGAACGTTTACACAGTCACCACCAGTATTTACTAATAACACGTCTCCTGCGTCTTTGCCAGGGGCCTCTTCAAGGGCCATGTTCTGGGACTATTCCTGTGTGTGATGTTTGAGGGCTTACTACTGGGAATGGCACCCCAATAGGACTCAGAAGAAGCTAGAGGCAAACATTTTTTTAAGGCAGAAGAAAGTGGGGAGGAAAGACTAGGGAATGTGGATTACAGAACTGGGTACCTGCTTAGAAATAACGCATCGAGATCACAACTGGAGAAATTACCTCTCTTAAAGCTACCCATATCTGAATTTCCTTGGGGAACATGTGCGTGTACTTTTGTTTTTTTAAAAAAAAAATGTTGATTTGAAGCCAGGCAGTGGTGGTGCATGCCTCTAATCCTAGCATTAGCGAGGCAGAGGCAGGCACATCTCTGTGAGTTTGAGGCCAGCCTAGTCTACAGAGTGAATCCTAGGACAGTCAGAGATAAAAAAATAAATAAATAAATAAACGTATCTCAAAAAAAAAAAAACCAAATAAATAAATAAGAAAGAAATAAAAGAAAAAAAAAGACTTGAAATAACTTTTGCCTGTAAACTTAGTCAGTGAGCCCAGAAGATTTGCTTTGTGTGTGGACTGTGGAATTCCTTCATCTTGGCAGTTCAGAGCCTTCATTTCTCTTCTCAAGAAAGCTCATTCATTTAGCCCAGAGCACAGCTTGTGGGAAAATGTCAGAGCCTATGGCTGCATCCCATTTCCCACACAGCTTCTTTCACCTGAGCTGGAACAGGGGAACTTGACCTCAGGGCCAGTCCTTTGGGGGACATCAGTAACGGTAATGGAGCTTCGGGCTGTCTCCTTGACAACAAAATAAATGGATCTGTGGTTTGCTACAGCCGAAAGAATTTCAGCCTTCCCACCACTTGTTTTATAGATGTGGAAACTGAAGCCAGGCAGATGGGTGATTGACATCCCCAAATTTCACAGCTTGTAAGCGGCAGCGAGTCAACGCTCACAATTCCCAAAGCAAGGCTACACCTGTGTGCACGAAGCACTATTTTCTATCACATGAGTGTAAAACTGGGCTGGCTGGCCAGGTTTCTCGCTCTTCACCCAGCTGCCCTGGTGTCTTTCAAGTGCGGTCACAGTCTCCGCAGTATCTGGAAAAACCAGATGGCCCGATACCATTCAAGTGTTTGCAAGGAACCGCAGTTAGCAGGGACTGGAAGTTTAATTTTACCACGACTTTCCTAAGAATAAAATTGTTCACAAACTTGATCACCCCTATGCAGTCTCGGACTTGTTCCAAAGTGCAAGTGCTTCAAAATCAAAATCTTGAGGAAAGTCAGCTGCATCCCTGGGGCCTCTCCCACCAAATCCAGACTAGGCTGCTCGTTCCCCATTTCATACCTGCTGGAAGGTTCCAGGGGAGCGGAGCCAGCCAAATATGACCAAGCCCCAATTACAGACCCAAATCAGCTTCAGTTGACTTGAATGTGAAAACCATCCCTGACTCAAGGTGAGACCATAGGAATTCCTGTTGCTTCAGTCCATTCAGGATGCTGTGACAAAATGCCTTAAACCGGTTCTCTCCAGTTTAAAAACATGAACAGTTGCAGCAGGGCGAGGAGGTCACTTCTAGCCAGACACAAAGTTGCTAATCTTGTGCATGAAAGATCTCCCTGGATCATTTAATCCCTTCCTAAAGTCACCTACCTCTTTTTTCAACATTTGGTTTTTTTCAAGACAGGGTCTCACTATGTAACTTTGGCTAACCTGGAGTTAATTCCCTGTGTATCCCAGGCTAGCCTCAAACTCATAAAGATCCACTTGCCTTTGCCTCCTGAGTGCTGGGGTTAAAAGTGTGCACCACCACCACCCACCCTAGGTCTCATGTCTTAATATTATCTCTCTGGGGTTTAAAGACCACCATGAGTTTCAGAACAGACACAAATATGCAAAGTTCAACCCCTGTGCTGAGTGGGACTTCAGAGATGGGGGATCCACGGCTCACTTAGAGGTCCTCTGTTGGACGCAGACCTGAGCTGGGTCTACAGAGCTCAGCCTCAGAGAACATCTATCTGGAGCTGAGTCTGCATGAGGTTTGCAAACGAATCAGCCCACAGAGCTTGAATAAAGCAAAGCAATAAGAACTGGGAAACGTAACAGAACTGAGATCATGACTGCTTATATCTTAGTGCACTTGGTTTTCTTAGCAGGCCAACTCCTGTGATGGCCTTGAAAGGGAAGTCTTAATTATGCCCTGTTTGGAAAATGTCATGAAAATAGATCAATTATTTTTGAAAACAAAAAGACTAAATATCAGCAGCGTAATCAGAAAGACCTTCGTCATCCAGATGAGCGACCTCATTTCCTGATTGCATTGGGTGGTTGTGTCTCTTCATCTGAAAATGTCTAAATTAAGGCCTCTGGGAAGCAAACTCATAACTCTGCAGGAAATAACAGTCTAGATGAAAATAAAACTTAATTAGCTGGGTCCTAAAATTATTAGTATTAAAAGGAACTTCAGAAGTCATCAGTGAAACACACACAGTGGACTTACCACTTGGACTCCAGGAGGAGATGAACAGCAAAAGGGACACGATCCCTTTCTCCAGCCAGTACTTTGCTCACACAAAAGCAGCAAACATGCTCTATGATAGCACGGCAAGTCATGTCTTCTAGCTCGTGATTTAATCATATTACAGAAAATAACTCGAGGAAGTTCAGGAAGACTGACTCGTTTATAGGTAGAACTGCTATGAAAACCTGGGCCTGGTGGTACCGGCTCACCTTGCCGTGCTGTTCTTGCAGAGGACTCAGGCTCGGGTCTCAGCACCCACATGTTGGCTCACAACTATCTGTAACTCCAGTCCCAAAGTATCAGATACCCTCGCCTGGACTCTTTGGGCACTTCATATACATGGTGCATACATGCAGGCAAACAGTCATCCTGGTAAATTAAAAATAAATCTATTTTTAAAAGATTGTACACACAAAAAACATGTTTGTTGCTTTCGTGTGAGCAAAGTACTGGCTGGAGAAATGGATCGTGTCCTTTTTGCTGTTCATCTCCTCCTGGAGTCCAAGTGGCAAGTCCACTGTCTGTGTTTCACTGATGACTTCTGAAGTTCCTTCTAATACTAATAATTTTAGGAGCCAGATAATTAAGTTTTAATTTCATCACTTGGGTGTGGCACAGCTGGGTCCCTTTTCATAGTCACAGTGTCCAGGGAAGTCTTTGTTTTGATTGGGTCAAGCAGAGATTTATTCTTTGGTAGCTATTTATTTTGGACTTCCAATCATAGAAGCCTGTTTTACATAAAAATTAATAGAATCGGACAGGGTGAACAATGGTGGTTGGTAAAGCAAATTCTTCCACTAGGACTCTTTAGCTAGACCATTGAGGTAGGCTCCCGACTTTGCACAATAACTTAGTAATTCTGTGACTTTTCTTTCCCTTGAAGAAAGTCATTGGCTAAACTTGATTCTAAATAGGATCAGAATATTTTGTATATGAAACTTTCTTTCAGGCTTCTATTAAGCTGGTTGTTCCTGTAGTTACATAGAACCCCCAAGGCACACACACACACACACACACACACACACACACACACACACACTCGCTGTACTTGACTATCTTCATAGCTTCAGACTCATTCCATTCTAATTTATATTCAGCTCCTGTATTTTTAAATTCCTTTATTCCTTTCTGATACTTCTTTGTTTCTTTTTCTTCCCCCTTCTGCATTATTGCTCTGATTGTCGAAGGATTTGCTTGGAGGCAGAGTGAAGAGGGGAAATGGAGCCTGTCTTCTTTTGGTCACACTTGCCGGGTTGTGTGCACTGACTCTTCACAGCGTCCTATTTCCTCTTTGGATGTGAGTGTGGAGATGAAGGCGAAGGTAACCTAGCTTTTGAAAAATAGTGGATTAATGGTGCACACTTTGAATTTTCTGTCTCTATTTATGTTTTACTGAGGCCCCCCCATCTCTCATGAGATGAGCTGAGGTATCTCATGTCCATTGACAATGGCTTTCCCAATATTTCTCAAAATTTCCATAAAAGGGACAAAGTGGAGCTTGCATTCTTAAGGCCTCTTCCTCCCGGGCTTTTCTCTGTGTGCTACTGTGGCTCCATTCATACCTCACACAGCTCTGTAATTGGGAACTTTTTGTCCTGCCTGGTCCTGTAGCAGCTTGTGAAATTGTGAAATAACCACTCTGAGGCTTAATGTTATTACAAAATGCTTGGCCTATTAGCTCAGGCTTATTATTGACTAGCTCTTACAACTAAATCAACTTACTTCTAATACTCCATATTTTACCACGAGGCTCAAGACTAGTTACCTCACATCTTGCTTCCATGGTGGTTACTGGTGTCTCCCTTGACTCCACTTTCTTTTTCCCTTTATCTTTGCTTGGGTTTCTCACCTGGCCCTATTCTGCCTGGTGATTGCCAAACCAGCTTCTTTATTAACCAATGGTAATATAAGACATATTCACAGCATACAGAGGGGCATCCCCCCTACAACTCTGTCTACTCTGTGAATTAAATCTACGACAACCACCACCGCCCACTACCACCAACAAAACTGGACCAGTTCCATTTATTAAAAAACAGTGATGAACATCACTTTAAAATTCATATACTGAAAATTTGATCCCCAAAGTCTTGTCAATATATTTGAGGTGGGGTTTTGGAGGTAATTAGTGTTAGATATATCGTTAGTGAGCTTGGGGCCTCCATGTTAGCATCGATGGCAAAGGAAGAGCAAGTTAACAGGCTTGCTCTGTCTTGCTATGTGGAGCTCTCTGAGATGTCTTGATGCAGGAGACAGCCCTCTCCAGCATGGACAGATGCCAGTGCCATGCTCTTGGGCTTCCCAGCCTTCAGAAGAGGTCTGACTGGATCTTTATGCTTTATAAATCACCTGGCCTCCCACACTTTGTTGTAGCAACAGAAATGCTTTCAAAGTTCTGGGGAAGAGGGAGGATTAGTGCTAACGTGGGTGTATAGTGCAAACTCCTTCAAAAGGAAAGGTCGGCCTCACTCTTCATAAAAATGGACTTTGGCAACACCATTCCCAGGAAACCTTACCAGACCTTGACTCATTTCAAAGATTTCACCTTTTTATCTCTTTGTCTTTCTCTTAAGGACAAGACCTTTATCTTGTCTCATGAAAAGCATCTTTGGATCTTTCTCTTGTCTCTAGACTGTTGGCATCAACGTAAAGAGCTTTATAAATATTTTTTTAATCCATTCAGATAAAAATAATTCTCTATCAGATGGGATTCCAGTACCAGCCTGAGAAATTAGCTTTAACACAATGAATATTTGTTTTAACATTTATTTTATAATCTTCTCACATGTGAGCTATATGAAGCAATACTCGGTATAAAAGAAGGGCAGGAGTCACTTGCCATGCTGGGTCCTTTGGATTCAGAATACTTCCACAGTATAGCTGGTAGGTGATACTGAAAGACTGCTTGTCTTGGTCTAAACTCCACAAGCAAGGGGCATGCACTGCTTGGGCAAGAACGCTGGGCAGCTGGGAAGCATCAGGATTCACATCTGTAGAACTAGGAGGCTTTTTCTGTACATAATCAAGACTAGAAAGAGTCTAAAGATGGGTCTGTGATAACAAGTCTTGCGTAATACCAAGGTTTGAGCTGAGAAATTAAGACTAGTTGAAACAAAATCCAAAGATTAAGAATGGAGTATCTTGAGGATGACTGGGGACATTGTGAAGTTTGGGAGCAGGTAGAGGTGATAAAGGATGGAAGGACATGGGAGCATTGTCACTTGATTTCTGGAAACATGTAAATTACCCACAGTGGCTGATTGCATGAAAATAGACACAGACTTAGGCTTGCAAGAAAGTCATATCCAACTGTGCTGTGTGACTCAATCATTCATTCAGTAAGGCATAGAGTGCTTACTTAACAGTAGCACCATGGGGAACAAGAAACAGAATTCTTTCCAATTAACTAGTTCCTTGTGCCCCCACGGTTGATTCTACATGGTGATGCTGAGAGTATTTACTAGAAAGATCTGACTGATTTGGGGGAATAATAAAGTTTCCCATATAAAATTATATTTTAGGAGAGAGGTGAAAGTTAAAGGTATTTGGGAGGAGGGTACAGCATGAGCAAAAGCTCTGTACCAGAAAGCAAAATGGAATGTATAAAGAGCATCCTATTGAAAACACAGTAACGAAAGAAGAGTAATTGGTGTAGGAGGGTCTTCTTTCTATGTGTTGCTTTCATTGGTTGAATAAAGAAAACTGCCTTGGCCTTTGATAGGGCAGCCCTTAGATGGGTGGAGAATACAGAACTGAATTCTGGGAGGAAGAATGAAGTGTGGCAGACGCCATGGCTCTCCTCTCTGAGATGGACGCTGGTTAGACTCATGCCAGTAAGCCACAGTCAAGCGGCGATATACATTAATGGAGATGGGTTAAATAAATATGTAAGAGTTAGCCAATAAGAGGCTAGAAATAATGGGCCAGGCAGTATTTAAATTAATACAGTTTCCGTGTGGTTATTTCACGGGGTAAGCTAGCCAGGCCAGGAATACAGCCTGCTCCTTCTACAACAAGAAATTAGGCTGAGTGCAGCCTTTAGATGCTGGATGAGAAGTGAGTCGAGATGTAGGTTTAAGACGGGGTTGTGCCTGGAAAGGGAGGCTGAGGAGCACTTGGGTCCAGGCTCGATGACTGTGATTGCACACTACTGACATGACAGGAGAGGGTGTTGAAGACCCTTTCAGGGTAATTAAGATTTATGAACTGTAATATGGCATTGGACCATGAACACGGAGAATGAAAACTCGCAGAAGGCGGTGATAGAGGAGGTCAGCAGAGGCAAAAACTCTTTTAGGATTGGCGTTAGGAAGAGGGACTTCCTCCTGGCAAATGCTAATCTCTTGACTTCTACACCAACCTGCTTTAATTTTCCTCCTGCCTCATTGTCTATTGCGTCATTCTCCGATAAATGTATAAACTGAGTGTTTCGGCACCAGATGGATAACCTGAAGGTAAAGCTACCAGAAGTCTAAACTGACAACGTGCCTCTTCAAAGGTATGATTGACAGGAAGGTTTCTATTGTAATACAATGGAGAGGACAGTTAGAGGTATCTGGAAGAGCTTCAGAGCAGATAGAGAACGCAGTGGACGGAATATGACCAGCAGACTGGTGGAGTGGAGGGAGGGAGGAAGATAAAGTTCAGGCAAAGGAGACCAAGAGAAAAGGCCAAAAGCAGGAAGAATGAGGGAGGGGGCAAAAGCAGGGAGAACAAGAGCATTCAAGGAAGAGAGGATCAAGAGCAGGGTTATATGCAAATGAGAAGCTGGGGGCGGGAAGCCCATGAGCTGGTGCAGCTTAAGATTGGGTAGGGGAGGGTACTTTTGATATCAGCAAACCTGGAGGTCAGCAAGTTCTGTGGTGTGCTAACAGGCATCACAGTTAGCCATTTGCCACTCCTGCCAGTGATAAGGGACAATGGCTTCAACAAATTCCTGAGGAATGCTGGCTATTGTCTAACTGCCAGGGTTTAGGAAAATGGAGTTTCCTTTGGACATCACAAAGAAGCCATTGACGGTCTCTGTAACTTTGAGAATTTTCAAAAATCGGACTTTCTGGTTTGAACAGTTAATTCTTAGTCAAATAAGATCAGAGATGGTGAGACAGCATAGAAGAGGAGTCGGATCAGAGATGGTGACACATTGTAGAAGAGGAGCTGGGCTGAGGTTCTTCCGTTTCTCCTTCCTCGCAGTGCCTGTGTTCTAGAAAACAGTTACATAATATATAGAAAGTCAGCGGTTTGAAACCACCTCAGCATCTGAACATGTAAAACATAAAAATTTGGGGGTGGTGGGGAGATTAAGAACATGGACTGCTCCTGCAGAGGGCCTGAGATCCGTTCCCAGCACCAAGATGGGCAGTTCTTTACTGCCTATAACTCCAGCCCCAGGGAGATTTGATGCTGTTGTCTTTTATGGGGACCTGAGCTCACATGCACATACTCACACACGGACACACCGACAATCGAAAGTAAAATACATCTTCAAAAATCAAAAATAAATAAACGTTTAGATTAAGATTGTGGGGTTAAGGGCAGTGACATGATTCCGTAGGTAAAGATACTAGCTGCCATGCCTGATGACCTATGCTCAATCCCCAAAATCCACATGGTGGAAGGAGAGAATCAACATGACCTCCACATTCATGCTGTAACACAGGCATGCTCCCCACACACTAAATACAATAAAAATACATGGAAATTTAAAAAGAAATAAGATTATAGTGTTGGGAGAAATAAAGATTGGGATTTTTATCCCCATATTTATCATAACATTTCTTGCATCCAATAACATCACAATGAGTCTCTCAAATGTTTGTTTGTTTGCCTGTTTATTCATTTTAATTGAGATAGGGCCTATCTGTGCAGCCCTGGATGGATTGAAACCCACTACGTGGCAAAGGCTGGCCTTGAACTTGAGATCCGCTCCATCAGCTCCTCAGTACTGGGATTACTGCATGTGCCCTCACACCAGGCCATCAGCTATTTTTTTCTTTCTGAATAGAGATTAACATTGCAGCAGATTTGGGCAACTGGGTAGGGCTTTTCTTTGCACCAGTTTTTGGAGAAGTGAGCACAAAAAGCTCTTTTTCTGATTACTGTTCACCTCTCCATCCTCTCCTGGGAGTCAGGTCATAAGCATTGGAGCTCTCAGTAGGATCTATTAAGAAGCTTTTGGGTTGGCCGCCAACATTAAGGAATACTGATGTGTAAACATACAAATTATATATGGTAGAGCAATGAGAGAGGGTATTGGTCCCTGGGTATTTTAAGTGGTGTGAATTTAATTCAGTGAACAGCTTGAGGGGCTAAATGAGCTGAGGAGCCAACTTTGTGGTCAGTGTGGTAAGAGAAATTAATAGCAGCTGGAAAACACTAGCAACCCCGGGGCTGGAGGCATAAAAATGAGGTGGCATTCCTTTATCACAGGGCACATTCCCTCATCAAAGCTGGAATTTCATAGTCTTGGAGCCAGGGAAGAGTCTTGGCCTCTGTCAGGGGAGCAGGGGGAGAAAAGGACCTTGCCTCTTTACTCCATAGTCTCTCTTGGCAGTGTCTCTAAGACAGGATCAGCTAGAATACCACTATCAAGAGATTTGGGGAACTGTGGTATCCAGGGATCAGCCTGGTGAATCAGGAAAGATGTGGACCAGGGGGAATGGAAGGGCAAGCAACTAGGCCCAGGACTGTCCCCCAAATGCACACCATTGTGATTGATCTGGGTTAGCTCACATAACTAACTTGAATTTCAACAGATTGTTACCACCTTCCCTTCCTCCATCTTGGGGCTTTCCCCTTTGTGGCTTCTTTTCCTACTACCTCTGCCCTCTTCTTAGTTAACAAAGAGGATCATCCTAGTGTTGGAGGCCATGAGCTTGCTTCTCAATCTCAGAAGAGAGCTTTTTGACATGCATCAAGAGAGGTGCCGGGAGACAACCCTCTTGAGAGCCTGTGCTCACCCAATGATCAAGGATCAGCCGGGAGGAGCAGACTCAGGTAATGGCCCTGGAACAGGTCATGAAGGAAGGAATATTACATGTGAGGGGTATTCCTCTCCTCAAAGTAGATGAGGGACAATACATATCTGCTTGCTACAGGACAGGCACAGGTCTTGGGGAGGTCAGTTTGGTCAGAAACGCAAGAGTAATAGGGGTCCAGTATCGAACATCCGGGAGAGGGGGCTTGTGCATTTGAACTCGGGCTGGCAAATTGTGGATGTCAATATGGCAGGATTAAGAGAACCCAGTATAAAGCATTATTTCTAAGTATTTGGGTAAATTTTAGAAGAAACCACCATTTGAACCAGTGAACTAAGAAAGTCTGCCCTTGGGAACGTGGGTGGGCACCATCTAATTGGCTCCAGGCTGGGACAGAACTAATTTCCCCTCCCTCTCTTCTGGATCCGGCAATGCTTTCTTTCTTCCTTTCCTGCCCTTGGACATCCAAGATCTAGGTCGTCTGGGCATCAGATTCTAGGACTTACTTCAGCAGGCCACCAGGCCTTCAGGCCTTGGTCTTGGGTCCAAAGTGACACCATTGGCTTCTCTGGGTCTGGGCTTAGATTGAGGCAGGCTACTGATGTCTGGGATTTTCTGGTTTACTGCTGGGCATATTACTGGACTTCTCAGCTCCTGTGATTGTATAAACTAATTCACTTAGTAAATCTTCTCTTGTCCGCCTGTATCCATCCGGCCAGTTCTGTCTCTCTGAAGGACATCCTTAGTATAGTACCCTATTTTCTCTGGCCTCTGGGGAGTCAGGTCTCTACAGATGTGACAGTCTAGACTGAGTTGGAGGTTTACAGTGGAAGAGACTTACTGGATGTGGCTAAAATGTAGGAAAGAGGCTAGAACCTGTGAGGCATTGAGCCACCCAGTGAGCAGAGTTTGTTCTGCAATCAGAGCAGGCTTGGGAGCCAGGGAAGGCAGAGGGGAGAGCAGTAAGGGCAACTAAGTGATAAGGTTATGTAAAGAAAAATAGAAGGGAAAAACATTGCCTAATCCAAAAAGAACACGCTTGAATCTTGATCCCACGTAATATGCTCCCTGATCCCTAAGGAGAATTCCCTACCTTCCCATGCTATGTGATCGCAGGCAAGGCAAATCCCAGAGCCTGGGTCAGAACAACTCAGAAAATCCTCTGTATGCATTTGCTGTGTTCCTTAGCTGAAGGGCCAGCTCAGTGCCCCCGGGGCTTTGTGCAGCTAAGTTGCTGACAGGCTCTTCAAGAAAATGCAGAGAAGTTCTACTTCTGTTACAAAAGGGCTCTATTTTCCAAGTGCAGGCCTCAGAGTAGCTGGATAAGGGGAACAGCAGTCCAGGTTAAGAGTCCGGGGTTTGAGTGGCAAAGACCTTAAACCGATGCTGCCCTGGAAAGGGACAGAGAGCCCATGAAGTGCCAAAGACCCACCCCGCTCTTGGCTAATCTCACAGAAAAGCGGTCCAGACAGTTTGGCTATGGGAGGAGAGGAAGGGCCAAAACTAAGGCAGTTCTCTGGGGGTGGCAGCTGTATCAAGAGACATGTTCTACTCAACAGGAACAGAAGAACGGTATCACAAACCAATCACATTAATGCCTGGACTTACCCGGAGAGGATGAACTTCTCGGATCCAGACTCTACCCCGGGTATTCTTCATTCTTTCTCTCCTTGCTCCTACCGTGTCTTCACCTCATTTCCAGCAAGGAAATCTGAGGTCCTAAAGGGTTGCGGAGATGCTCAGAGCCTGTCTCCTGATGTCCCCACCCCCAGTTCTTTCTATATTTAGAAATAATGTGGGCAGTGGTTCTTGCAACTCAAAATCCACCTCCATGTACTTTTTTTTTTTTTTTTTTTTTTTTTTTTTTTTTTTTTTTTTTTTTTTTTTTTTTTTTTTTTGAAGTAATGGTCAGATACTGTGGCTTCTCAGGACCTAGCTAATCTTGTTAGTAGAACCATGTCAGTTTCCAAGACACCACGTTACTTAGCTATCTTAAATACTGCCTTAGATGTAACAGCTATAAAGAGCTAGTGCAAAACTCCATGGGACCTTAGAAACCATTCTCTCCAATCTGGGCACCTTTGAGAAAACCATAGCTTTATAGCATGGAACTTGAGCCACTGCATGCTTGGCCCAGCCCACCCCTTCTCAAGTGAGAGGCAAAGCAAGGTTTTTTTATCTTAGCTTGACATCATCTTTTCCCATGGATGTGAGCGAGTGCATTTGACACTCTAAGGACCTAGATATTTGTCATCTTGACCTGAGTTTGCCTTGGTATGACTTAGCTACGCATGCTTTGGAAAAAAGTGAGGAAGCCAACAATGAGAGTTGAGGGGGAGAGTTTGCCTAGTGTGCTCTGTTGCTGGCTCCTATGCCAGCGGTGTCCTGGGGTTCTTCTTACCTGGTGCTTCCGCCTCTTATTTTCACCAGAGCAGAAAAAAAAAATTAGCCATATTTATTTCACATATGAATCCCATTCTAAGGAATGATTCTAGATCATGTTATTGGAAGACTAACGATAGAACAGAAATACCAAGCAGGCTAGGAAAGGGGATCATAAATGCAATTATGAGATAGGCTCCCAGAGGCCACTTTGTACATTTCCCTGCCCTTATCTGACCTGGGGTGCGGAAGAGAGGAAGGAAAGGAGGTGTGTGGAGAGGGACTATAACACTGTAAATGACAACTTTTCAAACAGAATCTAATTTTCTGGAAGTCTTATTAGACTTTAAAGGAAGGATTTATGCTTGCATGAATTGTGCAGAAAGGAATTTTAATAACAGAGAGGCAGTGTGAGACAATGCCGACCGAGGTCATAACTCAGGGATGGAAGGCTTTCCAGGAGGGATTAGCATAGGCTGCAAACTCTGCTAGTCAAAAGAAAGCTCTTCTCTGCCCTGGAGCTCTCTGGTGAATACACGTACAGGCATTTCCTCGCACAGTTAATAAATAAGCCACGGCTCGTCTCCCATTGATAGAAGCCGAGCTGGGAACTGCTACGGAGCTGCACTGAGCTTGGATTCCAGCGTAGTTGCGGGGAATGGAGATGCTCAGCTTCATCCATGGTGCTGGGAACATTGGCGCTGGACCATTCGTTGTCGGGGTCTTCCGCGGCACTGCAAGGGGTCGAGCAGGATCTCGAGCCTCTACCTGGACGGCACCACCAGCACCCAACTCTCAGTCTTGTAACATCTATCCAAACAGACTTGCCCAAAGTACCTTCGGGGATCATCCTTTCTGCCTTCTGTGTTGAAAGCCAATAGTGTAGCGGAGTGATGCTTTCCTCTCCAATGCTGTGTAACAATGCAGTGAGTGAGCCTTTGGGGGAGGAACACAAAGTGACCATGTCACCCGTGACAATGCATAATGAGAGCAGGCTAGCAGGAATGCTGAAGTGCTGACCACCGCTCCTGCCCTGAGTTTGTGATCTCAGCCTAGGCAGGGGTGGGAAACCCCGTCGCAGTAGCCAGTCCCACACCCATTCGAGCACCTGGATTTCCAATGAACAGCCCTTCACCAAGTGCTGAGTGGGTCAGATCCCGCTGAGACTGAGAAAATATGAATTTTGGATTCAAAACATTGAAACAGCTCTTTGGCAACCGGCAGAGGCAGAGCCGAGAAGAATGATGACATTACCTCCCCCGAAGAACCCCTCTTCTTCTCACAGGGAAGAAATCTGTGTGATGAGGTGAAAACTTGGGAGGAACCACCGTCTACACAGTACTCTCCAAATATATGACACTTCCCCTAAGAGCCCGAAACAGAGGCATAGAACACCAAAACAAACAAGTTCTCTATAGACATAGATGATGCTCTACATTTAAAAAAAAAAATGCTTTTGTGGTTGTTAACATCTGAATGCTGTTGTATGAGGCAACCCTGTGGTTGCCATGGAGACAAGTTTTTTAGCAATGCCTGCATCATGAAACTGCTCATCGTTAGCTGGAAGGTCAGATCTTAAGGGAAGAGAGTCAGGCACAGACCAGGAAATACCCCTAGGGAGAACACAGCTGTTAGACGAAAGAAGATTCCAAGGTTTTTGCACCACCAGTCTTAAGAGATCTCTTTGTGCCTAAGGATAAGGTTGTGGGGATGCCATTGTGTGGAGCAAAGGAGATACGGAGACAGGGTAAAATAGAATATGCCTTGAATCAGGCTTGAGAGTCTCCCCCATTGCTGCTGAGACCTAAGGCAAGTGTCTGCTTCGAGCAATTCCTTTGAAGTAGAATATGGTCCCCAAGCTCTGCCATGCATTCTGGGATCACAAAAGCAAAGACATTTCTGTGGCCACAAATAGATTAGAAAATATTTTTGTGGGTAATATTTGGCTGCATTCATAGAATCTGAATTCTTCTGCAGTAAGTTTTGAAAAGAGCCAGACCGTGGTACAAAACCCATAAATATCATGCAAAACACGACAGGATCGTTTTCCTTGGAGCAAAATGTCAGGTGGCCCCAATCATGTGCTACACAAGGCAAGATGGAGCTGGGGTTATGTTCCTTGGCTTTCTAAGGACAAACTCATGTCCAAGAGAGCCCGGGGCCATCGCTGACAAGTGATTCCTCATGATTGATATGCCTGTTTCCAATAAGCCAAGTTTATAGTTTGTTGGTGGGTTGACTGCAAAGTTATAAAAGCTGATCTCATAAAAGAGAAACACAAGCGCTTGACACATCACATTGTATCCTTGACACTCTGTGCTCTGGCGGCAGAGCTGGCCCTCGTTTAGAGCAAAGGAGGGAACATAAAAGAGTAATGGGACTTTAATTACAATGGGGATTCTTCCACCCCACGGGCCTCTGGAGGGATGGGACAATTGTGTGACTTCTGGCTTCCAGGCAAATCATTTTCCTATCCCACAGTGGATGCACATGTGGCAAAGGGCTCTAAAAGAAGTGGTGTGGGGTGGAATGGCTTCGGCTCCCTTCGTAACCACTGTGAAAACTGATAAAACCATTGGAAGAAATGATAACCAAGGGAAATAAATAGGCATTAAACTAATATTTGTTAAGCTTTCGAGGCTTTGGTTAAGCCATAGAATTTGTTTGAAAATATGACGGTGTCAGTTTTTACCTTATGATGTCTGGTTGCTAGGACAAAAAGAGATAAAACTGTTTATTGTAAAGCCTGGTGCATGAAGCTTACTCTATTTTGCTGCCTTAAAGAAGTATCCTTCCAACCTTGGTCATGCCTTCTCTTTTCAAGCCAATGGTTTTGGTCATGGATGCAAGGGAGAGAATCTCCCATCATCCAATAAAGCAATAGAGCCTCCCAAACCCAGGGTAGGAACAGAAACATTCAGAACTCAGAGTGAAAGAGAATGACTTTAACGGCCCTGAGGTGGAAAGGTGATCAGATCCGAGGCATTCCAAAGACCTGTCTTTTCTGCTTCTCTCCATCCAGCTGTTCCTTCTTCCCTGTCTACTAATGCTGGCTCTACCCTGGGCTCCCATATGGCCAGTATGAACATTGCTGTGCATATCCCATGTCATTGTGACTGAACCTCCGTGTGCTGTTTGCCTTCACCTCTGTTACCACGCCTCTGATGCTCTATTATCCACTTACCTCTCTCCTAGCTCATCTTCTCAAGACTGGACCTTCTGCAGGAAAGGGCAGCTACTGATTGGCTACTGTAGACTCTCTGCCTATCACTCTGTTGAGTCAGGGGTGAGGATGCTGTAAAACTGAGAAGAAAGTTGTTACAGTAGGGAGTCTCTCTCAGAATTGGCCGTGCCCACATGAGCCCAGGTCAACCTCTGGATGGTGAAGACAGTATTCCATGCCTTCTACAACTCTATTCCAACATATGGTTTGAAGATGTTAAAGTCACCTCTCTAGTTAGGAGCTATTGGGATGTTGTAGAAAGTTTAGGAGTCAGGCCCTAGAGGGAGGCAGCTGCATCTATGGAAGAAGGGAATGCTCTTTTAGGAGATGTTGGGACTTTGGACACTTCCTTCTCCCTCTGCTTCCTGAAGCCATAAGGTGAGTAACTTTGCTCCACCATGCCCTTTGGTCATGATGGTCTGCTAGGCTGTAGGCCCTCAAAACAACAAAGTCAACAGACCATCAACCAAAACTTGTATAACCATGAGTCAAAAGAAACCCTTTCTCAGATTAGATTGATTACCTCAGGCATTCTGTCACAGGGTTGACTATCACTTCCTGGGGTTCCTGGCTAAAAGGAGAGTGAAGCTGGTACTTCTGGGCCCTTGCCCCTCTTCTCTTTGTATATTGAAAATGGAAACCCAAGTGTCTTTCAAGGCTCTCAGTACTGCATCCAATCTATTGTAGGTTGAGGTCACATCCAGGGTCCTCTCTGTTCTTCTCCCCGAATACCATTTTGTTCTTTATCCATGGATTAAGAAGCTAATTAGTAGTCAAATACTCTACTAACTCCACCTAAAGACAGATGGCTAGACTCCCAGGCTCTTCACCCCATAGAACAGAGAAGTTTAAAGGAGATTGGCTTAAATTAATGACCTTTGGAGTCACTGGAACCAAGCTAAAGCTCTGGATACCTCCTCTGTTGATTATTGCTCAAATATTCTGGGATAATTATCATGACTCCCCGAGTCTCATTTCTTTACCTATAAGACAGAAATAACAGCATCCATGTCTCAGAATTGGAGTGCCACATAAACCTGCATTACCAATAA